TCGGGTTCGTGCTCCCGATCGCTGTCGTGCGCGCCGCTTCGAGCGTGTCCATCTTCTCGCCCGGGTTCAGCCAAACTTGCTCGTGCCCTGCTACAATACGATCGAGGTGATCCTGGCTGGACCGTATAGATCTAACCAACTAGAATGTACCTAAACGGCTTTATATATAGGTGCTGAGACCGTAGACATACTTAGTAGACATGACAATGCTGGCCCGGTCTATGCTAGGTCGAAACCATCATTTAATATGATTAGCACCGTCGGACTGGTACTAACTAAATGACTGGTGGTCAGTAAACATCCTTTTAGACTTGTCAATTGACAAAGATTACAGCCACAAAAGATAAGGCCGCTTCACCAAACTGGGTACAGACGATCATCTCGGTAGTCATAGCGTTCGGAGCCGCCAATTTATTCCTGTCTAAGGGTATTCTTGTGAGTTCTACTCAAAATTTCAATGGGCGGTTCTTTGAATGAACCTCCCCCAAATCGCCCAGCGTTTACAACTCCGTATACTGTCCCGTTTAAGTACGAAATAAGATCATGACATGTGGCAAGAAAAGACTTGGTGGGTTCTACTAATGGCTTGGATTTGTATGATGGCGATTGTCGTCCCGCTCCTCAAACAGACCCAAATCGGCAAATTTGGACGGAATTCACAATCCTATCCGCGAATGTACCAAAAAAAATGGATCCGAGTACCATCTGCTTGGAATAGTGCACAACATATACGATTAATGTAGCTCGTTACTGGTGATTCACCCTGTTTTGTACTCCTATTGCCGGTTTTGCAGCACCACACCAAGATACCCACCTCTCTAGCCCAGCCAGTCCACTTCACACTCGCCAATATTCAACGACTGCTGTACAATAAGTCACATCCCTAACTTGTCCCAAATAGAGCTAGATTCCAGAATCTACGGTCTTCCTCTGGTTCATTACAAGTGATGATCTGGCAGCTATTGATGCGCTGAAAGCACTGGAGTCACTCCCGGTCTCGCAGTTGGCCGCGACGCGAGGCGAGCGCCAGTCTACACCCGACCAGGTAAGTGCCAATTGGGTTTCGGGGAGTGAAGAGGGTGTTGCCGTCACAGTTGTGCAATTAGAGTGAAGGTTGAGCACTTCTCCGTGATCCTAAAGCTCGAATCACGTCCAAAGTAGTCAAAAGAATAGGCTTCATCGGTTCAACACTCGGGTTGGACGTGGCAGTTATAATGCTCGTTGCATTTATGACTGTTTCCATACTTAAGCACCCCAGAATCGAAGTATTTGACTTCAAATGTATTCCTTTTTACGATTGAGGGGTGAGAGCAGACGATCCCCTCAGTAGAATCCCTAGATATGGAATACTCCCTCAATTAGCGGTTCCCGTTGACCAGTCACTTACAAACCCAAGACAATATTCCAATCCACAATTACTATGCATATCACACGTCCACCTTATTAAAACAAAATGTTTGCTAAGTACCGCGGGATGGCTTGCTGTCTATAAAATAGCGAAAATTTATTATTATTAATGAGAGATGAATCCAGCGACTTTCACCGCTGCTTAAACTGCCTCCTACGAACGTTTTCGAGACTCTCTACACCAGTAATCGCTAATTTTACTGAGCACTCATACACGCACATAATCAGCCGTGAGATCCTGCGTGGTTGTAAATTCGCATAACCGATCCGATTCAACTACCAGTAACAGGTAACATTGAGTACTGAATTTGAGTGTTGCCTAGCCTTCGGATTTATTTCCTATTTTTCATCGCACTACTCAAGTCACCGACGCCCACCTATCCAAGAAATCGACGAACGTGTTCATAAATTTCCTAATAAATCTAGCTGTACTACATTGTAGTTCTCTGGATATTTATATCCAGAGTCCAGAGTCTTAGTGGCTTCGGAAACCCTCGGATATCCTGTATCATATTATATTTGGTTACTTTTGTAATAACTCAATACCTTGAATTGACAAAAGAAGAGCTAAAGCGACGAAATACTTTATAATCTTTTAAGATACGATCCAAAAACTGATGAATGTTGACCCAGTCGGACAAGAACGACATTCCCGCAACCTCACCGATTGTGTACTCCACAAAAATGAGTGAATGTTGACCCAGTCGGACAAGAACCACATTCCCGTAACCTCACATATTATAGGGGAAGGTGCTGGGAAGCTATTTACGGAGAAGGCAATGTTGCCTTGCTAAGGAGAGGCGGGAGTCGTAAGGGGTGTCGTTGTATAGCCAATTAGTGTGACGTCTATCTAGCACATATATAACCGTGATGTGGGAGGGTTAGAAGGCTACTTTGCCTTGCTAAGGTGTGGTCATGGAATTTGCCATTGGTTCTGAAAAATATTTTAAAGCTGTATAACCTCAAATCTGTGGGGGAGGAGAGAGTATTAGCCGCTCGAAAATTTGACAAGTCAAGTAAAACATGAGTTTTGTGCGATTTTTACTATAATACTTCCCTCGATAGCTTCCCCTCGGCCGAATACTACTCAAAATTTCGTCGAAGGCGCCACTCTGGTCTCTCATTCCCTTCGTGACCGTACTGCAATGCACATAGAGCGGAGATAATAAGTATATTATAGTTTTCCTGCTTGTTGGGGGCATTTCGCTTTAAACGGATGCCGGTATTAAGGATATAAGCTTCTGCCTCATCTCATGTATTATTTTTTTTCGCATAGCCAACAAGCACCTAGCTAGTAGACTTTAAAAAAAAACTTTTTAAAAATAGTTTTTAGAAAGCACATTTTTAATGTTGCTTTTTTATCATTTTTTTTACTTTAACGCAAAAAAATATCCAGAGCTTCCCGGGCAACGCACGGCATTAGTACAGCTAGATTTATTAGGGAACTTGCTGGATTGAGCGCTTTTGTCCTGTCCAAGAAAGCATATGCGGAGATTTACACATCCGATTCTCTTTTTTTTTGTCGTTCTTATTAGGATTAAAAGCAGTATTCTCCCTCGTAGAGTTGCGTCTGTAAGCTGGCTGAAACCAGGGAGTAAGGTGAACTGAGATATAAGGGAGCTTGCCTGTAGAAGATACTACAGTTTAATTTAAAGGTTTTCACGTGGAAATATCACGAACCATCTTGTATTAACATCACGGGTTTTAATCTTTCTTACTTAGAATAAAAACAACATACACACCAATTAGGTATTGTACTTGGCATTGGCTAAGACATATTCACCATAATGAGAGTTGCAAGTCATTGTTGACCTCCGAATTGTTTGTCTGATTATTAAGGAAAACCCATGTTAAAAATACTCCTGTTCTTTTTTTTTTTACAAATGCTTCCCAACTGTACTGTATAAAATAAGGATTCTGTCCCACTCATTTAAAGAGCATAAATCAAATTGCAATGCTCTTCAATCGAAATAAGCTCTTATATCGTCACTGTCAAACATGCGGAGCTCCTTCCACTTGGCTCGCAGGACTTCATCGCTGCTGTCGGGCGGACGCCTTGCCTCGACCATGAGCGGCTCCAAGCAGCCAGGCCGCGTGGTGGTCATCACGTCAGGCAAGGGCGGTGTGGGCAAGACGACAGTCACGGCCTCCATGGGCTACGGATTGGCGCAGCGGGGCTTCCGCACTTGCCTGATCGATTTCGACATCGGCCTGCGCAATCTAGACCTGCATCTGGTACACCGTCAAAAGCATACAAAAGGCCAGATAAATGTCCGCTTACTGACGTATATCTGCGCAGGGCTGCGAGCGCCGCGTCATCTTCGACTTCATCCACGTGATCGAGAAGAACTGCCGCCTCAATCAGGCGCTGATTAAGGACAAGCGTCTCGAGCGTCTGTCGCTATTAGCAGCCAGTCAAACGCGCGATAAGGAGGCGCTAACGGAAGAGGGAGTCGAGGAGGTTTTGGACGAGCTTAGGAGTCAATTCGACTTCATTCTATGCGACTCACCCGCCGGGATCGAGTCTGGAGCGCGTCACGCCATGTACTTCGCTGACGACGCCATTCTCGTGACGAATCCGGAGATCTCGAGCTGTCGAGACTCGGACAAGATGATCGGCTTTATTGCCAGCAAGTCTCTGCGTGCCAAGGAAGGCAGAGAACCAGTTAACCAACGCCTGTTGGTTAACCGTTATGACGCTAACCGCGTTAAGAACGACGACTGCTTATCAGTGGACGATATCGAGGAGATGCTGGGTCTGCCAGTGTGTGGAGTCATCCCCGAGAGTGCACACGTGTTGACGTCGTCTAATATGGGACAGCCAGTTATCACTGCTGAGGGGGAGAAAGCTGCTGTCGCCTTTGAAGACGCAGTGGCGCGCTTCTTGGGTGAAGAGCGAGAGATGAAGTTCCTGGAACCTGAACGTCCTAAGGGACTGTTTGGTCGCATCTTCTCGTAAGTTACAGAAGGCAAATAGCAGAATAAAAAATAGGCAAATCAAGCAACACTTCTGCTTAGAAATCTGGAGTGAATGCGCTATCAGCGTCGACTCTTCTCCTTGCTTTTCCCTTTTTTCAGTGCGTACATCTCTTCTGCCTCCTTTTGCTCTAACTCTAACGCGTTAAGACGCTCCAGCACTGAAGTTACAAACACGAAACAAACACGTTAAATAATATCCAGTCGAGATAATATCTACGGATGTTATCCGTACCTGGCAAGAGCTCCTTGTAGCGAGCCTCAGCGAGCAAGAAGCCTTCACGCTTGATCTCCTTAATACTGAGCTCATGTTCCACTGTGCTTGGTCGTTGCATGACCTCCTTAGCCCACGTAGCGTCAGTACGAGCAAAGAAGTCACGCAGATTCTCGCCCATCTGTGGGGTACGCTCAATGTCGTCCAAGCCCAGTTGTTCCTGCAGCTTCTCCATCTCCGCTCGAATGGCCTTGCGATGGCTGTCTTTCTTGGATTTAGCTTTCTTTTTCTTCTCCTTTTTCGCCTTCTTCGCTGCATCTTCATCATCGTCCTCATCTTTCTTTAACATCGCCATGGCTCGTTCCACCGCCTTCGCCTTCTCTTTCTCTTCGCGGGCTTTGAGACGCTCTTCATCGTCCTCATCGTAATCGTCTTCATCATCGTAGTCGTCGTCATCATCGTCATCCCCGTCTGAAGACTCCTCCGTCTCACTCACTTCTCCCTTCCAAATCTGATGAGACATCGTACCAGGCAGCACCTCCTTCCACTCCTCGAGTCGCTTGAGATCCAGAGACCAGCAGTCATCCAGCGTGATCTCGCGGTCGCCATCTTCCACAACACCACCATACACGTACAGTGTGCTTCCACGGATCATCACTGCCGGGTTAATACGCGGACATGGGGCAGGAGCTGCGGGCTCCTCCTCTTCAGGTTCTTCAACCTTGCTCTCCTCAGCCACAACGGATTTTTCTTCTACCTTCTCCTCCTCCTTTGTCTCCTCTTCAAACTCCAATTCAATGTCCTTAGCAGAGCGCTGTTCATCGTCTTCCTTGGTCTCCTCTTCCTCGTGTGCGTCCTCAATATACACGATATTTCCCTCATCATCCACGTATCCGAACTGCTTTTCCAACATCGTATCGAAATCCTCCACTTCCTCGTCTTCCTCCTCCTCACTGTCATCTGCAGTTCCATCCTCAAGCGTCTTATCCTTCTTCTTTCGTCTACGCTTATTGTCCGTCTTCTTCCCACGCAGCTTAAACTCGAACCAACGACGACGATCCATGTCGTACACGAACAGATCATTATAAAACGTTGACTGCATCGTATGCCGACGTTGCTCTTCGTCAAACACACCACCGAACAGAATAAAACGCTGCTTGTGCACAGTCACAGCGGCGCCACCCCGTGGACTCGGCGCTTGGCCCTTTCGAGAGAGTTTCTCCCACGTCGGCGACTGTCGCTTCAATACTGGAGCCAAGTTCAACGCCCACAAATCCGAATACACTTTGCCTTCCGATTTCTCGCCCACATTCTTCACCTTGGCATAGCCTCCATACACGAACACAAGGTCCTTGGACGGGTGTACCGCCAGTTGACAGCCGCTTCGCTCGGCCGGGACTTGTCTGTGAGGAGGATACGAGACCTTCTGCCACTTGAGCTCAGCCAAGTTGAACAGATACAAGTCGTTGAACCATTTGGTCTCTCGTGCGGCCTCGTAGAAGCCGCCGAACACGACCAAATAGTTCCTCCAGACCACCATGCGATGTCCGCTTCTAGGCGACGGTCCTCCCTTTACTTCTAGCTCCTCCCATGCGTTAGTTTTAAGGTCGAATCTCCATAGATCTCGGTAGTGATGGAACTGATCTGCTGTGGCGAATTCGCCTCCGAAAACGTATAAATGGTCTCGGTATACCGCCGACTGATGGCTACATCTCGGTGGAGGCGAATTGGGCGAGCTGATGTTCTTCCAGGCCGCGTCACGCAGCGCTTCGGCCTCACTGGGCGCCTCTTTCACGGCCTGTTGCACCTCCTCGGCGCTCTGTGGCTGCTTGACGTCCAAATTCCACTTAAACACGTCGTTGTAGCATACATTCACGTCGCCGTCGAAGTATTCGCCACCAAATAGCAGCATTTCGCCAGATGGCAGCGCAGAGAGCGTGAAATTGGCTCTGGGCGTGGGTTGCGGCGCCGCTTCGATAGTCACTTGGGTGCGCTCGGCATCTTTCTTACGGAACTCCTGAAGAATGAGCTCGATGTCCTCCTCATCGGTGCCAAGGGCCTTGCGGTCCTTCTTGGCACTCTTGGCGCTCTGTTTGGCCTTCTTGGCCTCCTGCCGCTGCGCCTTGGCCGCCGCCTTGTCGACCTTGCCACTGCCGCTCTTCTTCTTGCCCATGACTGATGCTTGGCTGGTGATCTTCGATGGCACTAATTGTGTGCGGCACCTAACATGCAGATGGATACAATGTGTGTACCATTTCCCTGGTACCTCAAGGTCTATGCGTATGCTGGAACTCACTTTGGTCGAAAAATGGTAAATTACGCTGAGCCCCATCCCATGTAGGCTCTCCTGGGAGTCCCAGGCTGGGACCAGCTGGCGATCCTGACCGATCAATACAAATATACGTGGCACGCAAGCTCAGATTGTGAGTTCAGAACTTATTTTTCATTTATCTTGGTGCTCGCATTGGCAGACCGTACATGTACAACTATCGCTCGATACCAGTATCTGTGGCAATCTGCGATCGGGACGTCCGCGCCTGTCTTGTTTTGCGTGTATGTGTTAGACGCGGTTCTTTACAAAATTATACTCATTAGAAACCAAGCCGGCTTTGCACAATAGCAAGCGCAACTTGCGCAAGTCCAGAAACCCCACGTACGTTTTTTGAAGTCATGTTCGATTGGAAATTGTGATTTGTTATCAACAAAGCTGTATTTTTCTTCACTCTTCCGCACAGCCAACGTTGACTATATCCTACATATATGTATAAATGTACAAACAGTGCACTGTACCGTAATCATATTGCTATTTGCTCAGGTGTATTAATAGTATTCCTTGTCAGAGTTGGTGATCGAAAATATGTATTCATATTTGTCAAATTGTCATTCCTAAGTGTAGGCCTTAGTTTGCCCGCCTCGTACATGATAGCTTAAATACCGAATACAGTAGGCCGCGCGGTAGTTGCGTTAGTGGGCCAGCGTACGGGTACCAATGATAAATGAATTTTGGGCATAGAAAGCCGGAATACCCATATAGAGTTTCCAAAATTCTAGAAAAACAGACCAACTGTACAAGTAATACATAAACATATTTTTACGTGGATGCATGCATCATTCATAATTTCTAACACTTTACACTGTTATTGTTCTAAAAGCGAAACAGTAGATTTCAAATCCAGCCTTTTATTTAGAAAAGAGCACGGTTTTGAGAAATGCCCCTTCTTTGAATGTTTCGCAGAGATGCGGTGAGTTCAAATCTTCGTTTTCTCTCGTAATGTAAACTGGTACTTTTATAAAATTTTTGAATACAATCGGTCGAACCTCTTCCCAAATTCGCATTCTTAAAGTCACCGGTATCTATTTTCTCTCTGCATAATATTAACACCTGTGGCGGCGGAGAAGTGACTTTGAAACTCCATCTTTCTCTGTGTTTTAGACTGGTATTCATGTAAATAATCGCTACATACAGCATGGGCCAAACGCGCTGAATTGCTGAAGGCTGGTATAAAATGATTTGATATTGGTACGTAACACATACAATCAATGAAAAGCACTGTGATACTGAACGTTTAGTCCCGGTACAATCAAAGACGTTTAGTCCCGGTACAATCAATCAAAAAGCAAGGGGCAGTTGGTACATGTGCTGAATGTTGTTTACTGTAGTCCAGCTCGCCTGCTGAACCAGCTGAAGCCAATCGTCTACTAAAAGTGCCAGCACATTGTATTATGGTATCAAACTCACCATTCTAGTGTACGTAGCCACCGTCAATGTTTGCAACGTACATCTGTAATACTTCATACACACATGTGGGTCCCGCTTTGTACCACCACTCTGACTTTCCCTCTTTGAGGCCTAAAGTCAGGACAGATTCGGCGCTGACTGGTACTCACTACACCAGTCATGGGGCTACTTCATGCTGTATTGCTGGTAGCCGCTGTACTGGCCCAAGACATCGCTCTAGTTACAGGCTCCAAGTCCAAGGTTCCAGCGTCTGACGCCGCTCTATGGGACGCGACGCCCACGACACGTACGAGCAATAGCAAGCGCCTTCTACGGATAGCAGAGGTAAAGAATCAAGACGACAACCACACTGACTCCTCAAATGTGGCATGGCTATCCCGGAGCAATTTTACAGCGTCTGACGAAGAAGACAGAGGGATCTTGCCGTTCAGCTCCGTGATGAAATACAAGAAACTGGTGAAGGATAAGAGTATCAGGACTACAATTACCAATTTTCTGGACGGTAACAAGAAGAAGTCGTCTCTACCAAAACTGCGCGCGCTCTTATTGAGAAGTCTGCCCCCTGAGCAAGCGGCCGAACTGATATTCTTGAAGATGCCCAAGAATGTACCGAAGCCGTTGCCATCAAAACTACCGAAGGGTGTCAAAGGTTTCGATTTCAAGATTCCAGGAATATCAAACGCAATTATTCGGTTGAAGATGGAAATCTGGTTTTATTACAGGTTCCCTCCGACCTACGTTTTCAAGGAGTTAGGGCTCGTAGGAAAAGGTGCCGACGATGTACTCCACGCTCAGGAAAACTACAAGTATTTCTTGTCGTATTTTAATGCGTGGTATAAAGATCAAGAACACTTGATTTTCTAGCGGTGGAAGCTTGATATCTTAACTTAATCAACGCATTGTTAGAATATTGCTGGTGCAAAGTTGATGCTATTGAATAGCTTCTGTAGATGTAGCTGGTACCAATGTTCTACTTCTTTCCTCAGTTTGACTATCTGGAGCCAAAATTACGCCTCGCTACTCATCAGCATAAACCATAAAAGGAAGCAAACGCAGGGATCGCGCCAAAATGCTGTTTCTTAACTAGTAGGGAGAATCGATGGATGTGGCTTCCACTACGCAGAGTCTTTCCTGGTGAGCTTATTTAATGCGCTGAATCTTTACGTGAAAATGAAGTAAGATCCACCCACGACGATACAGTCACTGTCCTTCGTTTGTACTTCAATAGTTGAGCTGTCTCTGCTGTAGAATGGCCTTACGCCACATGAGCTGCCAGCGAGCGAACGCGAACATCCAACGGGCCCTTGACCGGCAGCACCAGCGAGAAATCGTAGGTGATATCGAAGGCGTTGTCCACCGTTACGAGATCGAAGCGACTGAAGACCACAGACAGAACCGTCATCATCTCCATCATGGCTAGACGCATGCCGATACATTGTCTTGGACCGGCACTGAACGTGGTGAACTGGTACGACGAGATAGTCTTAAGTTTGCCGGTCTTCTTGTCGATCCAACGTTCTGGTTTGTACTCGGCAGCATCCGAGCCCCATACTGTTGGCTGGCGAGCCGATCCGTACATGGAGAAGACCACACGCGCTCCCTTGGGGACGAACGTGCCGTCATACATCGTAGTGTCTCGATTAGCAAGACGATAGACTACCAGTGCGTTGAGACGCAGACTCTCCTTCAACGCCGCCTCCAAGTACGTCATCTGTTGCAGATGTTCCAGTGTTGGCGTGTCCAGTTCACCCGTGGACAATCCTGGAGCCACACGATGCACCTCTTCTCGAATCTTAGTGAGAACACGAGGGTGTCGATTCATCATGACGATGAACCAGGATAAACTAAAGGCAGTAGTGTCTTTACCCGCAGCGTAAAAGTTAACAGCAACGTCACGGATCTCGCGAGTATCCGTGAAGTCCCCAGACTGCAACATTAGCGTCATGAGATCCTTGTGTACTGACGTTGAAGCTTGGTTCTTGTCCTCCAGAGATTTCGTCATGATCTGCTCTACTGTGTCATGAACCTTCTGCATACTCTCGCGCATTACGCGTTCACTACCGATATTGAAGAAACGGCGGAGTTTCCAGAGCCACACGGGACTCTGCAGTCGAGTCTGCACAACTCGTAGTGCAGCGTCGAGTGGCTGCGTCGTATCGACGTCCATTGGGTCATCTAGGCCGTTGAGTTCGACGCCGAACCCGATACGGGTGAACGTGTCGGCTGTGTATTTGTTGAGTAACGACTTCATACTCACCGTGTCACCTCGTTCAGCACACTTGGTAAGTACATCACGAAGTTTGACGGTTTTCTCGCGAACGACTGCGTTCATACAGTCCTTGAGCATGTGCATGGAGAAGAGGTGGCTGGTGACGCGACGTTGGTGCTTCCACTTGTCGCCGTCCACGTTGAAGATGCCCTCGCTTAAAACCTCCTTCACTGTCTCGCCTGGACCGCGTACGAACACGTCGAACTGCGTTTTAAACACGTCTTCATAGGCTTCAGCGGCGGTCACGACCACTTTGGGGACCTGGCCGATGCCGGTTAAAAGCCACGGCTTGCCACCGCAGGCGAGACTCTGCTCCGTCATCCAGTCGTGCAGTCGGTCCCGTTGGAACCAAAGCAGGTCGAGAGTATTGCCGAGGAACGGGAGCGTGGACGCAGGTCGGAACAGCTTTTGGCCGTTGGTGTGGGGCGATGGTTTGGTGGACACCTTCCACAAGACGAGAAGTAGGGCGAAGATGGTGGCCAGAAGCGGAGACAGGGATTGCGAGTCCAGCATGTTGCTGGCTCTTGTTTGAGGAGTGTTCAACTGCTGGTGAATTGAAAAGTGATGTGGAGACGCGATGGATGTTCACGAGCCTTGCTCGCGCATCAGCGGTGGTGGCATGCCTCCGCTTAGTGGCTGTGTTACCAGCCACGAAGCAATGGTGTGCTGAAACAAGATGAAATTTTGCTTTCAATGACGAGCTCATTGCACTGAGGCAAAGAACGACGTATTATTTTGAGTGATTAGGCTCGGTTGCCTCCGAACGCACTAGTATTACTGTTTGCTTCTTAGCGAATGCAGGAAGATGAACCAAAGCCACCTCGATCGATATCGATCTGAACTGCTACTGCATGTATGAGTGCAGGATCAATCTGAACCAAAAGTGCTGGTGCCATACTACTTTCTCTGGCTTGATCCTGATCCTGTGAGCGCTGGTGTCAGACCGCTGATGTCCAAGTAATACTTCGCAAGTATCAACTAAAAAATACACCGTCACCACTGAGACTATTAAAAACGTATTCTAGGTGAGTAGTCGAGAAGATTGCCTTCGTTCCGGTACGTTTCTTACACATAAGTATTTTAAAGACCTTAGCGTGTGGTTATCAAACAGTGATGTCTCTCGGTCACTTCTGCGGTGCAAAATAGATCACTCGGCGCGCACATGGAGTTTTTGAGAAGCGGTTGGTGTAAATCGATCTCACAATGGCAATATATTCTCATTCCTGATTAGTACCTTTAGGTACTAATCAGGAATGAGAATATATAAATGAGAATACATGTACTAAAGTTAAGTATCTCCGCATTACTTCCTGCAACGGAGTGAAAATACCATTGGCAACTACTGTTCACTTGCTGGTTCTTTTCTTCTTCATTCTTCTTTTAACCATTAAAAGGAAGCAACTTCAACTTTATTAAAACCTGATTCCCGCCACTGAATCAGATCGTTTCCACCAATCAGCAGCGAAAGAATTTCCGTTGCGCTTTGATCAGTATCATTTCCGGCACGCGTCCCCACCGTCTGTCGCCATGGCCCTCTACGTCTGGGGCCACAACAACTCGCAGCAATTGGGCCTGGATGTGGCCGACAAGGAAGTCTTCGAACTGGTACGTCCTCAAAAAAATAATCTTCAAGCACTTGGCTTTATTGTCTAACTTTCACCTTTGTTTTTAACCCAACTTAGCGCCAAGTGGAAGCTCTACACAACGAGGTGATCGTGGATTTCTCGGCCGGCGAGCGTCACTCGCTGGCCCTTAATGAATTCGGCCAGGTATTTGCTTGGGGACGTGGCCGCGAGGGCCAATTGGGTCTAGGCGACGTGGCCGGCGTGGCCAGCGCTGTATCGCAACCCCGTCGCGTCGGCGGCGCGTTAGCCGGCCAGTTAGTCACTAAGATCTCGTGCGGTGAGTCGCACTCGTTGGCTCTCACAGTGTCAGGTGACGTGTTCATGTGGGGCCTGTTGCCGGTGGCCAAGGTGCTGTACGACGAGAACGGAGAGGCCACAGACGCCTCGGATCGGGCCACAGTCGAGCTGGCCGGGCTGTCCAGCGAGGAGATGCGGGAGGCCCAACGCGCCCGCTCCCGGGCCGAGCTTCGGCGGCATATGGACGACAACATCATGGCCAGACTTGTACGGGACTCCATGCAGGTCTACGAAGACGCAGGGGTCGTCAATGGGGAGAACGTCAAGGTGCAGACGGTTCGAGCGCCGTGTATGACTCCACGACTGGCCACCGGCCTATTGTCTAGACTCGTGGTGACCACCATCGCCGCCGGGTTCGCCCACTCGCTGGCCACGACAAATGACGGCGCAGTGTTTAGTTGCGGCTACAACGACAACGGCCAGCTTGGACTTGGGTCAAGACGCAACTCGGCCGAGTTCCAGCATATCCAGGCTTTGGAGGGCTATTTTATTGAGCACATTGCATGCGGACAGCAGCATTCACTCGCTTGCTCTAGACTTATAGGCCCAGATGAGGCTACAAATGACGACGAGCCCAAATCACGGTCTGGAGTCTGCTTCTCGTGGGGCCTCGGTGTGCTCGGCCAATTGGGCACAGGGGTCAACAAATCCTGGCTTCCAAAGGAGGTCAAGCTGGCCCGTCCGGCCGTGTCGGTGGCTGCTGGTAGCCATCACAGTGTGGCCGTCACTGACGATGGCAAGGTGTACACATGGGGCCACAGTGAGTACGGCCAACACGGCGCCGGTGAGACGTTCTACGATCTCCAACATAACGCACATTACTTCTTTCCTCGGGTTCAACAAGCGCTGGCCGATGACCCTCGAATTAAGGTGGCCAGCGCTTGTTGTAGCTCACACTCGACGTTTGCTCTGACACGTGACGGGTCGGTCTTGTCGTGGGGGTGGAATGCCTTCGGCGTGCTGGGCAATGGCAAATACCAGCACTCGGTACACCCACAGCGCCTCTTTGGTCTGAAAGACAACGTGGCCGTTGCTGTGGGGGCCGGTTCCAACCACTGCGCGGTGGCTGTGCAACCTCGAGGAGCTCACTATTCACTAAGCTACGATCGGGTACTGGCTAACAGCGATTTCGCTGACCTTGTCTTCGTCGTGGGTGGATCTACCAAAGGGGAGCGTATCAAAGCGCACCGAGTGATCGTGAGTGCACGCAGCAGCTACATTAAAGGGCTTTTGCGTGTACTCGACGTTGTCACTAAGAACAATCCACAATCTGCTGGTAATAACGTGGCCAAGGAAGAGGACGGGTTGTTTGAAGTGGCCGAGTTCCAGGATGTCGACGCGCAGGTGTTTCGTGCATATTTGACGTTCTTGTACACGAACCGTCTCGACGTCGTCAGCCATAAGAGGAAGGCGCTCGGCCAGTTCGCCAGTCGCGTGTGTTGCGATGCACTCGTGGTTCAATGTCTGGATACGTGGCGTAAGGAACGATTGGCATCGCTCCCTCCACCTTCATACCGACGTGCAGGGCATCTCAGTGCCACGGGACCAGCGAGCTCTGAAGCGCAACAGTTCGGAGAGGACATGAAGGCTATGGTTCTCTCCGAGGAAGTGGCTGACGTCGTGTTCTTGTGGCCTGTAGAGGACTCGGACCCTGAAAATTTCGAGCGACTACCAGCTCATAAGGCTGTGCTTTCTCAAGTGGAATATTTCCGCACGATGTTCATGGGTGGGTTTAGTGAAGGCAAGACGGCGCAAGCAGCCACAGCCAAAGAATCGGGAGCCTCATCAAAGCAGGTGCACGAGATTCCTCTCCACTATATGCACCGCGACGGCGTATCGCTTGAGGCTTTTAAGGGTTTGTTACTATGGATCTATACGGGGTGCTTTGAACTACTGAGCGCGAGACTCGAACCCAGCGACATGATGGACTTGTATGTCGGTGCCAGTCTACTGGGTCTTACAGTGTTGGCCAGTCGATGCGAACTGCAACTCGTGGAGCTGCTACCCCAGTTGGATATTGACTCGCTGCGGGCGTGTGAGGATTTCGCAGAGCGGTACGATGCCCGTCGACTTCAGACCATGAGTCAACAGGTGCTGCGGAAGCAGCTACCGACAGAATGTTAGCCACACAGGGACGCTGGCTGCGATCCATTCTGTTCCATTAGTGGTGTGGAAGTCAAACATCGCAGCAATGTACATATATTTGTTTTTATGAAAAGAATTAGTATTCTATGGATAAATATGCTACCGGGATTCGATGCTTGTACCAGTTTTTTCGACGTGTATTAATAATTGATCCTTGGTTACTGTTTCCAGCTTCAGCTGGAAGATACTGGTGGGTGCTTCATGCACGCACTGCCAAAGTCTTTTGTTTCGTGGTGCGATTCTTGAGAAGATCACGCGACAGCATGTCGCGTTCGAGTGGAGAAATTGGTCCACCAGGTGAAATAGGTTTCTACGATTCTTGAAGTTACAAACTCGTGCATGGACTGAGCCACTCGGGGCTGTTCTGACCGGTAATCGGCGACTCGGCCATGGGCTACAGATTGGGGACTTCTTTTGTATGTCGGCGGGAACGTCGGTGCAGCCCAGTACAGTGTACTACGTAGTACTACATGTACTGTAGCACCTCACTGATCAATGCCTGACTCAAAGTTGTTGTGGAAACGGAAGGTGGCATCCAAACGCCACTGTCAATGTGACTCTGTGCGCGATCGTGGTTGCCCTCACATCCTCACCAGCGTCAGCCAGATCCTACGCTCTTATCGGTGTCTATGGAGTCCACCTGGCACTTGAGTGCGAGGTTCGTAACGCGTGCCTAGAGAAGCCAGCAATACGAAAATGGATGACCAAGGTCATAAGGTGTCCCATCCTGGCGACGGCTGTCGAGCGGCGAATCGCTTCTTTTTTAAAAGTTATTGCTCAGCGATCACCTAAAGTCTCTACAGATGACCCAAGCTTCTACATGACAGCACCGCAGTTGCCAGCCTACTTGATTTGCTTCAGCCGCTGCGGGTATTGGTCACCGGCCGATCACCACTGCGGCGCGGTCTGCTCGGGTCAGATCGGAGTCGATGGAAAGTGCAATGCTTGCGCTCTCCTCGGAGCCAAGTGGTGACCACGTGCGCCGGGCTCTGTGGCTCCGCTTTGCCCTCGCCAACGCGATGGAAGGTCGAAGCTATTCCATCCCCGCAGACAGAAGACGGAGACAGCGATACCTTCGGCCAAAGCCGGTCGACTAAAAACCAGCGACACAGGATACATGTACCGATCGGTCGATGCAGTACAGCATCATGCCGACTCGGACATGGATTTAGGGCCTTCCTCTGCAACTTGCAGGTGAACGTGGCGTGCAGCACGTAGCGCGCTTCTGCTGATCGCAGGACGCGAAGTCGGTGGACAATATCCACCGCTGCAACCGCGCAACGGGAAAGAGCCGCACCGAAACTCTACGACGACGCTGGATGGATGTGGTGTCGACGCTGCAATAGCGTCGAGTTCGGCATCACAGGAATCGCGGAGCTTCCCACCGCGGCGACTCTGGCCGGGGCGATCTCAGACGCAAAAAATACTCAATTCTCGTTGCCGGAACCGGGTATTTTGATGGAGATACTGACAGTATATCGCTTGAAGACCCACTTTCGGCAGTAACGCAGGTCCCCGTTTGCCTGGCAAAGTGTAGGGAGGGCGGAAGTGTCGAAAGCCTCGTTGTGGTGTCGGCAAACTCTAGCGATAGGAGACTCGTATGGTCGTCGTCGCCGGATGGTTTCAGAACACCATAAAACCTGCCACCCTACTTAATTATCTATCTTTCAATAAATTAATTCATAGAGGTATTATCACAACTTCAAAGTCATTTACTATACTCAACACTTGTAAAACAATTACTAACATCATGCATTATGTTTTGATTATAGAGATGCAGGATTCCCTCTCTTTGTCTATGTCCCAGACCCTGTCTGTGCCATCATGGCACCTTCCCTGATGGGCACCCGAACTCCAGCCCAGACACAGTTCGTCGTGCCTTGAGCCGCGGTTTGGAACCCCCACTCGATCACTCGACGAACGACCCCCTGTACCCTTCCAGTTCGCGGTCTTCATTCAGGTCGAAGCGCACTACAGTCGAGACCTCACACCCGTTGCCGTCTCCGATGCGCGTCCAGTCCGCGGCCGCGGCCAGTGCTCAGGCCCTGCTGCAGGACAACGCCAACTGCGTGGCGCACGTACTACAGAGCAACTACTTCAGCCGCACGGCCTCGCCCTCGGTCTCTGCTAGCTGGGAGCGTGCCGCCTCGCGCCCGCCCATCAATGTCAGCCCTTACGTGCATACGCGTGACTGCGGCGGCCGCCGTCGCTCCACGGCCGCCAGCTGCCAGGCCGTCATCGGCACACTACAGGACGCTATGCGTGCGCTGCACGCCGACGACACCAGCAGCTACCGCCGCGTCGAGAGCGAGCTCTTCACGGCCGATCTGCTCCTAGACGCTCGCGTGCTCGACTCCCTCGTACCACGCACCAAGGAGACGCCGTACCGCTACGTCGGACTCAAACACGTCAAGTACCGGTCCATGCTCGACGAGCGCCACGCCGAGGAATTCCTACTCATGGAGACGGTCGGACGCGGCGTGCACCCCGTTTCGGGTCACAAGTTCGTCTTTAAAATGTTGCGCTCCGTTGACGTCCCCGAGCGGGAATTCGAGATGAGGAGCGCTAACAGTCACCACGCACAACTGCAGGTACACCGCGGCGCCATCCACGCTATGCTGCTGGTACTGGCCGAGACCAGCCATCGTGGGATCCTCAAGATGCAGTTGTGGCTGGACGTCGAGCTGACGAAATGCGCTGAACCTTTCTACGGTGCGTTCTCCAGTCTTCACGACGCCTACAGTTTATCAATCAGGTATCGACAGTTGGTCGAGAACTACGCCGCTACGAGCGGAGACGCCGCCATAGCCGCGTCGACCAAGACGTCTCGGTTCGGCCTCCTCACGTCGCGGTCGAACCGCGAACGCAAGTGCCAGACCTGTCAGCGTGCTCTCGGGTTCTTCTCCAGGAAGAAGAACCACCTGTGTAATGTGTGTGGAATCTTCGTGTGCTCTTCGTGTTTGTCTACTACGTCGTTCCAGAGCTGGAAGCTCTGCGGCCTATGCTACCAACGCAACAAGCGCCTGGTCAACAGGACGCGCGTGTCCAAGATGTCTTCTCTCGCGTCAGGTCTGGGAGGAACTCTGCAATACATTACACGCATCGGACGCAGCTACAGCCGACAACGGGACTCGATCTTATTCGCGACGGCTGAAGCTGCCGGTGAGTTGCCTCCCAACCCGATGCAGGACACGAAGCAACGACCGAACGAGCGCTTCGCGACGCGGGAAACAGCTAGGAGACGCCGTATCGAGGACGACGAGATGCTGTTTGACCACGACACCAAGCCGCTCGCTAGGAGCGTTATCGGAGTTCGCCGTGCAGTGCGTAGCAGTGAAAACATGGACCCGCATCCGGACTTCGGCGCGACCGTGGGTGTCGGGCGGCCGCAGCCGGCCCGTGCCAACCTCAGTATGAGCCAGGGACCTGGCGGCCGGAAGAACAGCTTTAGCCGTTCGCTACTTCACAGAGGCAAGGGCTCGTACGATCCGAACGAGGACATAAGCAGAGAACTCAGTGCGTCGTTCTTTGACGGCACGAACGGATCATTTCGCACTAGCGAGCTGAGCAGCAGTCGCGTCCAGATCAGCAGAAGTAGCAGCTTCGCCGACCAGAAACTCGAGTCAGTGGCGTCGTCGGACGCCAAGGATAAGAGCGGAAGCACCAGCAGCGACAGCTCCAACAGCACCACGAGCTCCAGCGGTGAACGCCAGGACAGTCCTACTCCCGAGCCGGACATCCAGCGCGTGGGCCCGCAGCGTGTGCCGGCCCCCGCTCCGCCCAAACAGGTTGAACAGCCGCGCAACTACCCTCCGCGCCGCTCGAACCCGATGTACCGCGTGCATAGCGGTCGCGTCAGCAACTCGTCGCGCAGTAGTTCGTCTTCTTCTTCTCGTCGCAGCTCGTCGTCTTCTTCTTCACGTCGCAGCGCCTTCAAGGGCTGGGCTTCGGCCTCTGCTGGCCCACGTATGACGTCCGGAAAGAACAGCTCTTCACGACGGAAGACCAAGTTCGCGGACGAGGACAACCACGTGCCATCTGCTTGGCGCTACGACGAATACGGTGCCCCTGTCAAACGTGGCCGCAAGACGTCCAACCTATCGGACTACGGCGAGCAGCCGCAGCACGGCCGCGTCTACGAATGGATTTAAGTCTTAGTTGATTGATCAGAACGGAAGATGTCCGAGGGAAGACGTCTCCATTACGCGTGCTATAGCTTCGATCAGGAGAGCCATGGGGAAGCTCTCGGATACGGAATCGCGCGTCTGCTATTTAACTTGACATGATGAATGTCATCCGTGGTATATTCCCCACTAAACTCTGGGCTTTTCGCCTTAGACTCACAATAAAATTGTTTTATCTTGCTCATATCCCCTGAAGCCGTAGACGCTGTCTCGATAACTAGAACGACATTTACTTTCGATTACCGTGTTTATCTAGGGCTGAATGGACTCACAACAACGTAACAATGGACGAACGCTTTAGATTTTACATGGAAGCCTAGGTCGAAATGTCCGCCGCCTTGACCGTGCCGGCAGCCGACTCATCGTCAGCAGTCGTCGTCTGGGCCTGTACGCCCTCCAGGTAGGTGATCTCTGAACGCGACTCCATCATCGAGGTGAAATCTGGACAAGTCGAACAGAGAAAACAGGTTAACAGCACGTTTAGAATTCTAACGACAACAGACGCAGTCGTACCAGGACACGTGACGTTCTCTGCGGCGTCGTAGTGGGCCTTCTTGTTGGGGTTCTCGTACGAGCAGCGCAGCACACCTTTGTGGCAGGTTACGACCATGTCGTCGCCCTCAAGCTCGATCATCACGTAGCCGCGGTTCCTCATTAAGCCCGTGCCGAACTCGCAGCAGCCTTTGCCGTCTGTCGCGCACTGCGGATACGTGTACGTACCGAACACCAGCGCGCAGCAAGCGACCAGCAGTGTCACCGCCACGACCAGCACATTCATGGGCCGGGAGTTCATCGTGTGTAGCTTTCTGCACTCTGTCCTCCACCAGGATAGTCTTGCAGCGCAATGCAAAAAGATGAGAATCGTACGATTGAGTTCGTAAATGCAGCCGATGTCCTGCCTTGAGATTTAGGAGTTCGTGCAGAGGTGAGCCTCGGTACGAGAGACTGTGGTGGATATTATACAAAGCACTCGGGTAAAGGCTCCAGCCCATCAGCGCTGGGCAGCCCAGACCCAGACGGCGACATGTTCCGTCCCCAGATTGTCAAACGTCTTCTGCTCCAGCATCTGTAAAGCCGGAGCAGCCTGATCTGACTCTCCATCACTTGCGTTCACTATACCTAGATTCGCTGGTCGGGGTCATTATGGAAGTCTCCCATCCGAGTCGCCACTGCCAGGTGCTCTCCTCTACCCACACATTTGGCGGCGTTCAAGGTTTTCTTTGGTCATTTTATCCGTGACTCACTTGTTGTTTTGTGTGGATAAGCTCGAATTTTCGCGAAGAGGAGAGGCGTCGCAGCGATCAACAACTCAAGTCGACACCAAGACTCCGCAACATCTTGACGGCCACTTTGAGAGCTGCTGTCCAGCACCGGCAGAAGCGTGACGACAGACAGTGAACAGCATTCGCTGTACACCCAATCAAGCTCTTACCTTACCTCCAGATAGGTGACGAGTATCTCGACCGAAAACTCAGACGGTTGACAAGCCACCAGTTAGCACTAGTCCGGTTGTCTGGCGCTCCATTGGCACTTTGTTCGTCTCCTCGCTTGACGTCAAACAGAACCTCTTTAGAAACATGGCGGGATGGATCCGGTGCGCTGTGTTGGTGACACTGGCGACGTTGGCCTTGGTGGCCGCGGAACAGGAGACGTCGGTGCACATTAAGGTCTTTAGGGACTCTACGGAGGAAGTCGCGAACGAAGCGACCACGACCACTAGCAAGGACTGCGAGGTGAACGGTGTGACGCTGCGTCATCGCAGTATGAAATACTACGGAGAGGACTCCTACGTTGCCTGCTCGAACGGGAAGGCCGGCTGCTACCTCATCGAACGCGTGCACGACAAGGCCACGCAGGTGGCGTGCCCTACCGAAAATTTGCAACAGCGCATCGACGAGGAGACCGCGTATCGCGAGCACGAGGCGAATGCCAAGCAGAACGGCGAGGAAGATGAGACGGAGGACGGCCACCGTCGTCTCTCGCTGGTTGTGGTGTCCACGACCCGCATCTGGGACGACGGTGTGGTCTGCTTCCAGCTGAACGACGACTATCCGTTCAACTCGACCCAAAAAGACTACATCTACCAGGCCATGAGCAAGGTGGAGGAGAGCACCAACGTGCGGTTCGTCAGCACGGCCACGTGCGAGAAGGAGAAGCTGTCGTCCTGCGACTCGTGCGCTAACTGGGTGGACTTCAAGCACCCGTCCAGCGGCCGAGACTGCAACTCCAGCATCGGCATCACGGACGAAGGAGCGCAAGTTATGAACCTCGCCGACCGCTGCTTCGAGGTGGACGACGACCTCAAGACCGTCTACGGCTCGGCCATGCACGAGATCTGTCACTCGCTGGGAATGTACCACGAGCACCAGCACCCGAAGCGCACGATCGGCGTCTTCTGGGACGATATCGACCAGAGCATTTGGTCCGAGATGAGTATCCGTGACCTGAGCGTTGGCGGTCCCTACGATCTCGGCAGTGTCATGCATTACCCGATGTCCTACGGCTTCTGTCAACCCAATTATTGTAGCGACACAGTCACGAAGAATTGCGTAAAGGAGGGGACAAAGTTCTGTAACCTGAACGACGACGACAACTGCACCGATATCACTAAGGCCTTGTGCAATGAGACGGCCACGGAGGCTATCGGACAGCGGAAGTATCTGAGTGAGGGCGACTTGGCAGCTATTAACGAGTTGTACCAGTCCGCAGCCTGGCCCTTATCCGAGTCCAAGATTGGCGGCGAGAAACAAGAACAAATTGATGTTTAGTGTCTACTAGAACAGCGTTTGAGTCGTGCGTCTGCTTGTAACCTCGAGAGATCACGAGGAAGTAAGTTGAATACTAGTGCAAGTGTTGATGTTGGCTATCACGTGTATTGAGTGAACATGTCATGCGAAGATATATACTACTAGTAGTAAGAGCCAAACCTTAGGTGGTGGGAGGCTTCTTGGCTGCCATTTTGTTGAGCCACATCTCGTAGAACTTCTGCATTTTCTTCCAATTCTTATGATCTGGCGCGTAGTCGTAGGTGCGGGGAAGATGGAGCCTCTTGTAGGCCTCTTCGGGATCCACTCCTCGTTTCAGCCAGAGCATGAATTTCGCAGTTGTGAAGATTCCTCTCTCCTCGTTTTCCACTGCGTCACCGGCACCCCGAAGTTTGTTTGTAGAGTCACTTTGGCTAAGTGAGCGTGTATCATGCGCCGTCACCGTTGATAGCGTGGCTTGATTGGTCGCTGCGCCCGTGGGGAATCCATTGCTTCCTGTCATGAAGATAACCACAGCCACAAGGAATAAAATTTGAAGACGCATGGATAATTTCGATCTCCACCGCCCGACAAGAAAATTGAAAACTGACGTCTGTATAAGGCTCATACTGTGCGTACGTAACCATAACCTTCCTGTTCGTAAACGAAGAAAACAGTCGATGATTAAAAACGTGTACAATAACGTACGACAAGTACCGCTACCGCTACGTTGTATACACCCGACACACACCTCTAGCCATAAAACTAAAGAGCCAACCACGCTGTTCAGAGATGTGCTAACAAGCGGGCACCCTTTAGCGTTTTCTCTTCCAGAATCGGGTACTGAATTTATTTTTTCTGAAACTTCAAGCTTATTCAATTTAAAATAGCTATATTCATGCTACAAATACGTTCAATTTAGATCTGGTTTTCAAAATAACATTTCTTTCGTAGCACTCTCCCGGCTGTAAACTTGTTTTTGAATCCCGCCAACTTTGGCCTTAAATGGACCACTTTATGTTGGACTCCAGGATTATTGAGGTCACACAACAGTCATCAACTTTATTTTACGAGAAAGTCGTGCTTCGCCGGAAGAAGCTCTGAATTTAGTAAGAAATTATGATAAACTTTTGTATTGCATGCTTAGAGGTCCTTGGTCGGTACTCTTCCGCGCGTGCTTCGTAGCCGCAGAATCTGCACTGGGGAAGCTGCTGCAGTATTATGTACAACTCGAAACCATAGTAGCAAAAATATCGTGTGATTGATTACCGATCAAGCAAATTTGTTAAGCTCTGTCACTAAGCGAAATCTTCGTTACATACTTGGTTGGGACCAATATATCATTTTAGGCGGGCATAAAGCAACTTTTCTTACAATAACAGACGAGCATATATGCATTATCTCTTACATGTTTCCTGAGACATTTTTAGGTTATGGTGTATTCGCTAAAAACGAGGATCCTCACCTAACGTAACGCGTCCCGAAGGCTTGTCATACATTCGGTGGCCTAGTTGTTTGATTGGAGTCGTCGATGTCAACGCGTTTGTTGGATTGTCTCCAAGTTCTGCGTTATGCAGGTGCTGGTCATCCTGTGCTGAGTTATTGCCTTGAATTCACCATGCAGTGATCGGGCTGGCCCTTACTGGTAAGAGACCAGCCAATTTGTTGCTGTTGATAACCTTAACTTAACAAGGCTTGCCCATATATGCCCTGCACTACACAGGTATCGGACCGCCATTAGCTTTTGAGTCTATGCTATACAAGACTTGTAGAAAAGTCAAGCTAAATGTGCGCTTAATTGGAGTTAGTTTGTAAGTACACTCTCGGTAATACTTCGTCTAGCGTGCTCGCTCACTCTAACCAAATGAATCCCATTTGCTAAAGTTCCAGCTTTAAACAGTTTGCTTTTAAAAAAACTGAGCTTCCTCGGACGAAGCGAATTTGTTATTAAAAAAATATAGAATTGTAATGGCAGAATAACGGATTACAACAACCTCTTTCTTTTTTATTATAGCTCAGAGTTGCCCTTTGCATTGCGTAACATAAATTTCACCGGTTGGAAGAAATTTCCGAGCGGTTGAAATTGATATCATCTTGTCGGCGCCGCTGCACCTGCTCTCCGCTGGTAGTGTAACTTCTCGATCCGTCGAGCCGACGAAATTACCAGCAGCTACTTGACTATACAACTCGAAAGTATGAACTGTGGCAAAAAAAGAAAAACAATACACACACACGCAAAGAATAACAATATCAGATGGATTTTTTTTTTATTTTGCCGGAGTAGACCAAATAAGTTGGTTACACAAATGTTCTAGAAGTATTTACTTTGGTTGGGAAGAAAAGATATAATTTCAGGCGGGTGTACATTCGGATGAAATTTCCACGCAACATTTGATACTATAACAGATTAACAAAGATGCCCAAAATCGTTACTGTACTGTTCCCTGAATTTATTTCAGAGGGTGTTTCAATTTCCGAGAAAGAATAGTCCATCTATTTATATCCAACATTTTTTATTTAACATTAATTCTTGAAAGATCAATACATATTTACAGTGATACAGTGATGGCCATGGACTTCGATACCTGCTCAATCTGTATATATATGGGGGGGGGGGGGGGTAGTCTATGAATTTACTAAATTTTATTCGTCCGACTAAATGAGTCAGCTGGTGTTAAAAGAGGTTGAGTAAGTAAACGTGATAATGAATTTTCGAAATATGCAGCAAAGAAGCAAGGCTATAAGTTATTCGCCACAGGCAGCGACGCGCGTGAGGTTAGTAAAGATTCGTCGTAACGATAGGTGTCACTTTAAAATCAATGATGTTCCAAGACACACAAGCTGTATCGCATATTTTTGGTTGCCGACCAAACCTGGCGTTTTAAAACGATTGCACACATGCTTTCTCGAAATAGTTAAATCTTCTACAATTGCTGTAATGCTTACTGTTTCGGTGTGGTTTATGAGTACGGCAAGAGCTCAAAACGCATGTGTACATTCATTATTCCAGCAGGTTACAAGTTGTTTTTTTCAGATTGAGTAGTAGTTCTAACCAGTTCAAAAACGTGGTACGCACCAGTAAACAACCTGGTCATTAAAACATGACATGAACACATTGTGCTCCACGCATTCACGTATAGTCAGTAGCCATGAGAACACGAGGTACAGCCGTCGATAAATGTAAGGCATTCCACACTACAGACACAGCCAGTGATATTTTGCCAACGTCACGTTGCTCTCGCCGGCTGAACTTTGGCGATTGATGGATGGTTGTCAACCCGAATGGGTACACCAAGTATCATATAAAACACGCAATCGCAATCATGCATATGCTGAAGATATGGCGTGTATATCTGCTGGACAAACCCTTCCTTGTTGAAACAGATCATAAGAGCATCGAGACGATTCTGACGCAGAAGACAGCGAATCGACGCATCGCGCGGTGGTTCAATGAAGTCGCGGAGTTTCGACCCATGTTCAAGTGGATCCCACGAGAAACAAATGTAGTCGCAGACGCACTATCAAGAAACCCTGACTTTAAGCATAAGGCTGCGCAAGTAAGCCTTCAGGAACTTCTTGACACGGCCCAAAACCGCGAAATTGTGGCAACCATGGTAGCGAACAACATGACCGTGGCACAGTCCCCAAAGAAGATGTATTCGTGGAACAAGGACTTACAGCGGGTTATCAAGAAGTTTAAGCTTGGAGACAAGGTCCTATATTACTCGCTCAATGATGGTGTTTTATAGTATCAGACTGGTGAAGATGAAAGTCCGCGACTGTATATTCCGGGTGACGAAGATCTCAGAAACCGTGTCATTTGCGAGAACCATGATACAATAACGGCAGGCCATCCCGGGGCTTACAAGTCCTACGTCGCAGTACGAGAGAAGTACTATTGGCCGAAAATGATGAAGTATATCCAGCGATATTGCAGCACTTGTGAAATTTGTCAGCGCAACAAGGCGAGACAAGTGAAACCGCCGGGATTACTTCAACCGCTGGATGTACCAAGGGGTAGATGGATCGACATTTCGATGGAATTCGTTGTGTCCTTACCTCCCAGCAAGGATGGTTGTAACGCCATCATGGTCATCGTGGATCGATTGACCAAGCGTGCAAAGTTCATTGGAACGCAGACGACGGACAGCGCAGAAGATACTGCGATTTTTTATGAAGAATTATGTAAAAGATCATGGTCTTCCGAAGACGATTGTGTCTGATCGTGACTCCAAATTTACGTCCAAGTTTTGGCAGGCTGTGATATCTGCTATGGGAACGCTGCGTAACCTGCCATCGGCGTTTAGACCACAGAGGGATGGACAAACGGAACGTACAAACCGTTTTATCGGAAATTATCTCCGTGGAGTCGTTAACCCAGCCCAGAACAATTGGGACGAGTTTCTTCACATGGCAGAGTTTGCCTACAATCGACGTGTGCATGTTACAATCGGTATCCCATCATTTGAAGCGGATCTTGGGTATATTCCATACATGCCCGACGTTGTAGCCTCAGATCCAGAGTTCAAGAAGTTGGAGAAAGCAGCAAGAGAGTTCTTACTCCGACAAGAAGCCTTCCTCAAGGTCGCGCAAGACCGTATGAGCGAAGCTCAAGAGCGCATGAAGCATTATTACGACAGGAACAGACTTGTCCAAGACTTCGAGATTGGTGATATGGTGTTACTTGACGGAAAGAACTTGGACATCCGTATGCACAGTTGAAGAGTTAGCTCCGAGGTTTATTGGACCTTTCCCGGTGCAGAAGAAGGTATCTCGAGATTCGTATGAGTTAGGACTTTTGCAAGGATTGAAGCTGCACCCGGTGTTCCATACGTCACGATTGAAGCCGTACCTCAAAGACCACAAACGGAGGCAAAAGGTGAACAAGGTCGTGCTAGCCGACGGCTCCCAGGGACAACTCATTGAAACGGCCATTGGACATCGCGAGTTATAGGAAAAACCGCAGTACAAGATATGGTGGTTTGGTGAAACCAAGAAGGAAGCCACTTGGAAGCCCGTAGAGAACCTAACGCAAATTCCCGGACTCATAGACCTCTACTGGAAATCAAAGAAGAGGGAGAACCCTTTTCTTTAGAAATAGCTCTTCTTCAAAGGGAGGTCATGTGACGTGGTGGTTATCTGGCCAATGGCATGGCAGTGACCAGCCACGCCAATTATTTGAGTTCAGCTTGTCAAATTATTCTGGTCGGTGTAAACTTAAAATTGCGTGTCTTTACATCAGTATACAATCCTATTGGTCCAAAATCACTTGGATTTGCAACAATCAAGTTTCCATCCGGAAATTGTGATTATGGGACGCTGTGCGAAATTTCCGACCAAGATAAGATTAGGAATCGTAGGTTTTCATTGGTAGCTATTCTTGTTCGCGCACTGGGTAGTTCAGCTCTGCAGGTTTCATCTTTCGGCCAGTAAATGCAATTGGATGTTCCAACTCTCCCTCCTTGTGAAATAAGACACCCCCAATTGCGAGATTTGAGGTGTCCATTCGAATACCGAAGGATTGGTGACATCAGGAAGACGGAAAACCGGTGGTGATGACAAGCGTTTCTTTAACTCAGTAAAACAGCGTAGCTGGTTCTCATCGAGCTCGATAGCATCTCGAAAACGTTTTGCTTTGATACATTCATGCAAAGGACCTGCGAACTGCGCAAAATCATTACAAAATCTCGAAACGTAAACAGTTGTCCCAAGAAAGCTTTCCTTTTGCTTCTTGGTCTTCGGGACTGGCCATTCGGCGATAATCTTCACCTTATCTGGGTCCATTCGAACGCCCTTGCGTCCGACAAAGTCGCCTAAATATGGAATCTCATCCACGCAAAATTGGCATTTGGACAGTTGGATGTACAGTTTCTGTCCTTCACATCGCTTCAATACTCTGTCCAGCGCGGCAATGTGCTCGTCGACATCTTCACTCGTGGTGTACACGTAAATGTCGTAGAAGTAAACCCGCATCAAGTCAAGTGAGTCCCTGAAAACCTTCTGTAGCAACCTATTAAAGGTACCCGGGCTACCACTGAGTCCCATGGGCGTGACGAGATATTCAAAATGACCGTCTGGAGTCGAAAAAGCGGTGAAAGGTATATCTGATTCACGTAGCTTGACTTAGAAATAACCCCAGAGTAAATCCATGCACGAGTACCAATAGCTGCCGGCCATCGCATTAAAGGTGTTTTCGTTGCGAGGCATTGGAATAGCCGGTAAAACCGTAGCCAAATTCAACTGACGATAGTCGTGCACAATTCGCCATCCGACTGGTTTCTTCACACAGAACGTCGGGGCACAAAAGGCTGACGTACACGGTCGAATGATGCCAGCTTGAACCATCTCTTTGGTCCATTCCTGTATCGTTTTCCTCTGATCAGGACTTTGGCGCCATTGTATGACCGAAAAAGGCGTAGTACCAGGTTTGAGTAGAATCTCAGTACCTTCACGTACTGGGGGTGTCTCATTCGGAAATTCCGTATGAAAGACCGTATCTGCATACTTATGTAACGTTTCATACGCAGGATTGTCCTTGAGAGCATCCCATCCTTGACTCTTAAAGCGTTCCGCCTTCTCTGAGTCATGCGGATTGATGACAAACACTGCTTCAATGCTCTTGTCTTTACGCAGCATGTGCTGGAATTGCTGGGACGAAATAATCTTCGTTCGTCCAAACTGGCCAGTGTGGTCATGCTGCCGATAGTAGTTGAAGATCTCACGGCTCTGCATAACTCTGGCACGGCGTTGTCCTGCTACCCAACGAGCTGGACGAGTGTTTGGCAGTGTTAACTTCACAGTCTGACTTTGATCCGAGGTGCTATCTGTCCAGTACTCCAGTCGATATTTGGGTTGTGCCCCCGCAGCCATATCATGCCTAAAACGGTGTCCTTTCCTTCAGGAACAGGCATGACTTGGAATGTTCCCGTCGTTAAGGGAAACCCTGGTAACTGCAGAGACATCTCTACAGTCCGACGTGGACGATGCACAACTTGATCAACCTGAATCAATGACATCCAACTCAAGCTTTTCCACTAACTCCTCAGTTACGCCATTCAGGCTTCTGCCGTTGTCAATGAATATCGTGACGGGCCTCTCTTGGTCTTCCTTCTTAAATGCTCGAGCTTCAGTCTCAAGGATCGCATTCACTGCGCCCTGCATGTACCGGTTTGCTTCCGTACGTTTTGGTTGATTACAATCTGGAGAAATGTGACCAACCTTGCCACAATTTCTACACGTAGCTTTCTTTTTCCAATCATCGTTCGTGCCCTTCCTTTTTTCGTAACGCTTGTTGTTCTGCTGTTTCGATTTAGGCGGACGATGCCCCGAGTCTGCTGATCCTTTCGATGGTTTCGAAGGTGCCCGAGGAGGTATTCCGGAGTAGTGCGCAAACTCGAAGTTCGACGCAATTTCAATGGCTTCTTGTAGCGTTGAAGGACTTTCTTCTTTGATCTTCTTCGCCGTTTCTTAACGTAATCCGTTCTGGAAAAAGAACGTTTCTCCAACTCACTGATCGCCAATTCTGTTTGCGACAGTAAGTCTTGAAACTTGGAGACATACTCGTGGATAGTCTCGTTTTGTTTGAGACGAAACATCCTCTCGCGAAGGTCGTACTCGAAGTCCTTTGGTCGAAAGCGCGTGCGCAGTTGTTGCTTAAACAACGACCACGTGGGATTCTTATTCGCTCTCTCACATTCGGCTATAAAAGCGCGATACCAGTTCAACACTGACTTGCCTAAGTTGCTGGAGATAATTGTTACGAAACCGGACGAATCGGCCTCCATTAACTCACGTCTGCTTGCATAATACTGCTCAGTGGCGAAGTTCCATAATTCAATGTCTTCACCATACTTTCCTTCATACATCGGAAGGTCCTTCTTCTTTTGCTCACCCCTACCGGCAACAAGATATTCAAATCTCGCATTGGCTTGTTGCATTTGGGCTTGCATTTGAGCTTGCATCTGAGCTTGATACTACGGTTGCTGCTGCGTTATGTATACTAGCAGTTGCTGCATGGACATGGTCTCAGGTCCAGCCGCATCTTGAGCAGCATCAGTAGCAGGGGAATCTGACTCAGCCAGCGCATTAGCACAGGCCCCTTCACTTGACGCTTGCGGTCTTGTATTTGTTCGCATCGTAGGTTGAGTAGCTTCAGTGTCGCTTGGAGCACTAACACGGCTCTGTTGACGAGGACGAGAGTTCGGTGACGGGCGCTCAGCTGCACGGCTTCTTCGTTGAGTCATAACAGCTGGACTTCTCAGCGCGTATTGATAAGGT